ACGACACACACACACACACACACACACACACACACACACACACACACACACGTGTGGGGCAGGCCCCCGGCTGGACACCCCCGCACACAAACCGCTGAACGTGACACACGAAATCTAAGGAAAGGAGTCAGTCCCCCGAGCGCGACCTCTGACCCCGGGTCATTTCCTCTCTCCCTTTGCCTGCCATGTGGTTCAATGGCAAACTGACCCCGCATGACCCCCAGCCCCCCCAGGAACAGAGCTGGGGGGGGGGCAGCAAAGACACGGAGAGCTGCACACCCCAGAGCGTGGCCATAACCCCACCCCCGCCTTGGGGCGCGCCTGGGGCAGGGGGGGGGAAGGACCCCCACTCCCAGCCCCCCCGACCCCCCCGCCGATGCTGCTGAGCGTGTGACGGGCTGGGCCAGGAAGCAGCAGGAAAACCCGCAGCGCAGGCGGGCCCGTCCCCTCCTCACCCCCCCGCCTCTGCAGGCCACCACCAGCCCCCCGCCCGCAGCCCCTCGCATGCTCCGTGCAAAGCCCCTGGTGCCCCACGCCCTGCAGCCGGCCCGTGCATCCCCCCCCCGACCCGCATGCACCCTGCGCCCCTGCAGGGGAGCCCCGCCCCGCCGGACTCACCCACGGAGCGGTAGCCCAGGATCACCACCTTCCGGTAGCGCACCAGCGGCATGGCCCGCGCGGACAGCACCGCGCCGCTGAGCCCGGCGGCGGCAGGACCGGGGGGGAGAGCAACGCGGGCGGGCCCGACAACCTGCGCGATAAGAGCCCGCCCGGGCGGGGCCGTCACCGCAACCACAACACCCGGCCTCCCACGTGACCACAACACTGCGAAAGCCGCCGCGGCTATTGGCCGGCGTCCCGGCCGGAGGGGCGGAGACTCCCCCGAGGAGGGAGGAGGAGGGCGGGGAGCGGGGAGGGCGCATGCGCGCTAGTAGGGCAGGCTCCATTCATTAAAATGGAGGGGGCGGAAAGTGGACCACGTGGTTTTACACTTACCACACACACACACACACAGAGGCACAGAGCACGTGGGGGGGGGGCTTTCTCCACAGCCTGACTCTGCCCCCCCCGGAATTGACCCCCACTTCCAGAGCTGCTTCCACACACTGACTGCCCCACCCCCCGCCCTGCGGGGCATCTCGCCCCCTTCTGCCCCCCCCCCAGCTCTGGTCCCCCTCCCTGCCCCATGGGGACCTGGCCTCCTCCTTGTAGTCCTGTCGCCTTCTGTCCCCCTGCAATTCTGCTCTGCCCCCCCCCCCCGCACCCAGAACCTAGGCACGGCCAGACTGGCTCAGAGCACTGGTCCAGCGACCCAGGGTCCTGTCTGCCGACAGCGGGTGCCGGGTGCTTCAGAGGGAACGAACAGAACAGGGCAATTACCGAGTGATCCCCCCCGTGTCGTCCACTCCCAGCGTCTGGCAGGCCGAGGTTTAGGGACACTCAGAGCATAGCCATTGATGGACCTGTCCTCCAGGAACTGATCTCATTCTTTTTATACGTTTGGCCCTCACCACATCCCCTGGCAACCGGCTCCACCGGTGACTGTGCGCTGTGTGAAACAGAACTTCCTTTTGTTTGTTTTAAACCTGCTGCCCGTTCATTTCATTGGGTGGCCCATGATTTGTGTGTTATGTGAAGGGGTAAATAGCACTTCCTTATTCACCGTTTCCAAACCAGTCATGATTTTATAGGCCTCTATCGTATCCCCCTCACTCGTCACTTTTCCAAGCTGAACAGTTCCAGTCTTTGTAATCTTGCCTGAGATGGAAACTGTTCCATCCCCCTACGCATTTTTGTTGCCCTTCTCAGTACCTTTGACAATTCTAATATATCTTCTTTGAGATGGGGCGACCAGCACTGCAGGCAGTGTTCAAGGTGTGGGCGTACTGGGGATTTATTTTAGCGGCGTTAGGATATTTCCTGTTTTGTTATCGATCCCCGTCCTAATGGTTCCTAACTTTCTATTCGCCTTTCTGACAGCTCCTGCGCACTGAGTGGATGCTTTCACAGAACTATCCACAGTGACTCCAAGATCTCTTTCCTGAGTGCTAACAGCAAATTTAGACCCCATCACTTCATATAGATAATTGTGAGGATGTTTTCCAATGTGCGTTACTTTGCATTTATCTACATTGAATTTCATCTGGCATTTTCTTGCCAAGTCACCCAGTTTTGTGAGATCCCTTTGTGGTCTGCTTTGGGCATAACTAATTATGTATCTGCAAACTTTGTCATTTCACTGTTCACCCCTTTCTCTAGCTCATTTAGGAATCTGTCGAACAGCACTGATCCCAGTACTGCTCCTTGGGAGACCTGGATATTTGTCTCTCTTTCTGCTGTGAAAACTGGCCATTTATTCCTATCTTTTTTTCCTATCTTTTAACCAGTTACTGATCCATGAGAGGACCTTCCCTCTTATCCCATGGCTGGTTACTTTGCTTAAGAGCCTTTGATGAGGGACCTTATCAAAGGTTTCTGAAAGGCAAGTACACTATATCCACTGGATCACTCTTGTCCACATGTTTGTTGACCTCTTCTCTTCCCAGAGAATTCTAGTAGATTGGTGAGGCATGATTTCCCTTTACAACAGCCATGTTGACTCTTCCCCAACAAATCATGTTCATCTGTGTGGCTGATAACTCTGTTCTTTACCACAGTTTCAAACAATGTGACTGGTACCGGTACCCTGCCAGCACAATACCCGGATGCACTGTCCCCCCTTTCTGTAGGTCCCCTGGTCTCCATGCTAGTATGATAGGCATGGCTGGCCACAGAGGCCATGACCAGCACTAGCCAATAGTCTAGGGAGAGGGTGGATTGCCATCTCAATGGGGAGAGACAGCCCCAGTATTCAGGGATTCCCAGCCCACAGTGGAGTCGGGACTTACCCATGCTGAGATGGAAACATCCCAAGCTGTTATGTGACAATTAGCTGCCCTGAGCCCGGCCTGGGTGTGTGTGTGTAATAAATTAACTTTCCCTGTAAATAAACCACATGCCAGATAAGACTAGGGGCAGGTGGGAGCCTGTTTTGTTCTTTCCAAAGCGGACAGCCACGCAGTTGGGGGGTGGGGTGGGGTGGGCATGGGGAGGGGGAGGGGGAAATATGTGGAGGTGGTGGAAGAATTTTGCTTGTAAACAAGTGTAAAGGTCCTGGCTGGAGCCTGCCCCCAGGGGCTGGGCGCTCCTTCCTCGGAGAAGTGTCCGAGCACATCAGCTCCTGCTGGGTCTGTCTGCAGCAACCAGCCTTGTTTAGAGCAAGCCCAGCAGCAAGCTTCAGGGCCTGTCTACACTGCAGTTGTCAGCGGGCTTGGGCCGGGGCCGGCTTGGGCCAAGGGCCTTTTCCCCCCCGGCAGGGTCCCAGAGCCCAGGCTTCAGCCTGAATGTCTACACCACAATTAAACAGCCCCTTTCCCCGAGCCCCACGAGCTGGAGTCAGCTGGCCCGGGCCTGCCGCGGGAGAGTGACTAGTGTAGACGTACCCATTGGCACAGTGCTCGGCCGTCGCATCCTCAGGGTGGGTTGGGGCAGGGAGGAAAGCAGCCGTGGTAGGCTCGGGTGGGGAGGGGGGGCCCTTCTGCGATATCCCCTTTCAGTCTGTATCAGACTGAAACATGCCTCTCACCTGGGACAGACACAGTCTCCCCACGTCCCCGTCCCCCCCACAGCCTAGGTGAGGGCAGCCTGGGGACAGGGTGGGGGAGCTTTTGGTCTTGCCCTGCGTGTAACCGGAGGAGGGGCCCAGGCAGGAAACCAGGGTCTTTCTGCAGCAGGGCAGCGATCCCTGAGGTCTGTGGCACCCGCAGCTCCCAGCCCCAGGGCCCTGCTCTGCCCTTCCCCCGTGACACGCCCTCAGCAGGGGGCGATGCCTGCGCTCCAGGGCAGCGATCTGGGGCTAGTTCCCTGCCTGTGTGCTGGTCCCTCGTGGCCTCCTGGGCACCCGGATGGCAGGGTGGGGGTGGAGCCTGGAGGGGAGAATCCTGCCCCATTGTGCCGGGCCTGGCTCTGTGTGGGGATCCCAGCCACGGAGATTTAACCCGTCTTGCCTCTGCCCCCGTTGGCCTGGGCCACGGGAGGGGCGAGGTCCCGGGGCCCTTCCTGGGCTCTGCTCCGGGCACTGGCAGATGCCATGCAGGGCCCATTGCCTCCAGCTGCCGGCCAGTCTCCTGCATTGTTCTGCTGGGACACTAGGGGGCAGCCGACACCAGCTCAGCCATATCAGTGTCTATAAACACCTGTACGCCTCCCCCCCCCACCCCCCACCGGGGGACAGGTGGGAACTGGCAGAGCCCAAACCTGGGAGATGCGGGGCAGCGGAATGGATCCAAACACCTCTGGGTCGCCTGTTCGAATCCAGCCCCTGGCCGTAGCACTGGTGTGCGGCCGCTCACCGGGGAGATGAGTTTGGGGAGTTCTCAGCCCAGCTCCCACTAGGCAGCCCCGCGGCAGAGACACCAGCTGGCCCTGCGGGGGCTGAAATGGGCAGGCTGGGGTGGGGGGTGATACGGGGAGAGATGAGATTGCAGGGGCTTGGGCAGAACAAGGTGACTGGGGGGGTGCTGGGAAACGGGGACGACGGGGCATTGGCAGAGCCGAAGGGGCAGTGGGGGCGGGGAGGTTCTGCCTGTCTTATCCCAATTCCTGCACAGCTCAGCCTCCCCTGCCCCCTCCTCTGCACTCCCAGCGCTAGCCAGCCCCCTGGGGCCTGTGGGCAATGAGACAGCCTGCCCATCTCCCGGGGGAGGCTACTCTCCAGAGGACCCTTTCCTCTCAGGGGCAAGGCCTTGCTCGGTTTTGGTTGGGGCAGGGGTCAGCCAGCAAATGGTGGGGAAGGGGGTTGATTATGCAAAGGTGCCCACAGTGATCCAGGGAGGAGGGGTGCCTCCGTGGGTGGGGGATGGGATTTGCTAATTCCTGCTGGGTGTGGGTTGAGATTAGACCTGAATCTGGGTCAATTTCCCCCCACCCCGCCCCACATTTTCCTGCATCATTTCCTCCAAGGGGCTCAGTGCAAAAGGCTCAGGTGTATGGGTGTTTTTTTTTTGGGGGGGGGAGGCAGGATTTCCCCTCTGCACACAGTCCCTGGCCTTCCAAATTCAACCCCCCAGGCAGCCCCCTTCCCTCTGGGCCTAGAATCCCCCCACCCCCTTGCTCCCAAGAGTCTCCACACCTCATTTCGGCTCATAAGCCAAAGAGCTCTGGGCTTGGTCCTTTCCGGGTCTCCCAGCAGGAGTCACCCCCTTCCCCCTGCGGATGGATTGTGCCGGGTCTCAGGAGGGGGCTGCAGGGCTGGTCTCGCCCCAGTGCTGGGGGGGTGGGGTGGGGGGGGTCAATGCAAGAGAGAAAAACGCCCCTGTTCTTGTGCCTGGGGCGGAATGGGAGCTGCTGGGGAGGGCGTGGGGGACGAGCTGTTCCTCCAATAACCCCCCCCCAAAGTACGCTGGGAGGCAGATCTGCTGGCTTAGCCATGTGCTCGCCCCCAGGAGAGGAGCCAGAAGGGAGCAGGCCGGGGTGGGGGGGGGGTGAGGCCCAGCCATCCGCCCTCTGAGCAAACACTGCCTGTTCTCACAGCCCAGCGCCCACTTGACCTTCACTATGCAAATGGGAAGCAAGGAATGTGCAATGGGATCCCGGTGGCGCGGAGTCAGAGACCGGGGCTGGGATCCGGGGCCCAGCCACCGCACAGGAGACATGGGGAAAGGGGGCTGGTGCGTGCCCTGCGTGTGGTAGGACGGACCTGACAGCTTCCCCTAAGCTAAGCAGCAGCGGGGGGACGGGAGACCTGGTGATGCAGCTGCAATGGGGTAGGGGAGTGTTAGTGCTGGGGGGGGGTCACCTGTCCTGGGCACCAGGTGAGACATGGAAAACCAAGGTGCCCCTAGGACCCTCCCCAGCCATGGGGGGAGCGGGCAATCTGGGCAGTTCCAGCCCACTCCCCTGGGCTGGAGGGGAGAAAGAGGAACTAGCCACGTGGGGGTCAGGGTGGGGGGGACACAGATGCAGCCCCTTAGCAGCCTCTCTCCAGCACCAGAAGACACAATTTTGTCATTAACAAAAATTAAATATTATTTAAAAAAACCCAAACACTTAAAACCACTTTAACCCCTCCCCCGCCACCCCACAGCCCGCAGCCCGCAGTCAGAGACAAACAGCGTATAAAATTATATTACCCTTTATAAATAGAAAAATAAAACTCTTAAGCGGGGCCGGGGGGGGGGCAAGGTTAGGGGGTTAGAGTGTCGGGGCCCAGCAGTGCAGAATTAACCTGTTACCAAGATACACGTCCCCCCACTCGCCTCCCTGCATGAGCCACAGCGGGGGAGTAGCCCCCGCCCCCCGAGTTCAGTGGAACGACTTGCCCCAGTTCGCGTGTCCTGCCCCCGGCTGCTGACTGGCCTCGCTGCGAGGAGAGAGTCCCAACCCCCGCCCTGGCGCTGCCCGCATGGGCCAGCACACGTCAGCCTAGAACCGGCTGGCAAGGAAGCCAGGCGCTTACCCTGGCTGGGCAGGACACTAAGACGCGTGAGCGTTGCTTTGCCACCCTCACAGAGCCACGAAAAGAACCCAGGCGTCCTGACTCCCCCCTCCCCCGCTCTGAACGCTAGCCCAGACTCCCCTCCCGGAGCCCGCCACAGAAGCCAGGGGTCCTGATGCCCAGCCCCCCCCTCTAGCCACTAGCCCACACAGTTTCCAAGAGAGCATGGCCAGGGTCTGGCTTTTCAAGCCAATGAGAAACCCCCACACAAGGGAACCCCTCTGACTTCAAAGCTATTCCTGCCCCAGTGGTGGGGCAGCTGGACCAGAGGGCCTGGCTGGAGCCCCCGGGGAGCTCATTCTCTCTGGGCCCTGCGTTGGAGGAATGCGGGGAAGGCCCAGCCAGCCCACAGCCCGGCAGAGCCCGGCTTCCCGCGCGGCCGAGAACCGCAGCTGGACAGAGGGTCTTGGGGTGATGATGCAGACTTGGAGCCTCCTGCGGGAGCGTGACTGCGTGCACGGCCCCCCACCTTCCCCGGTGGGATCTGGGCTCAGGGGCCTTGCCCCTGTTCCTCCTTCCGTTCCGAGGACCCCTGCCTTGCACGAACTCCTTGGCAGGGCGCTAACGGGGCCCAGCGCTGCCCCTCCCTCCTCCCGCGGGTGCAAACGGGGTGCCCATTCCCAGGCAGAGTGGGCCAGGGCAGAATCCCTCGATGAATGCTTAGGGGAGACACGAGGAGGGTGGGCAGGTGGGTGCCGCGCCCCAGGAGGAGCCCGGCGGGGGGGTCATGCCAGGCCGGGGGGAGGGGCTGCAGGGGGAGGATCTGGGGCCTGGCAGGAGCATTAGTAACAGGAGGGCGGGATGGCCCGGGTCTAACCTGCTGCATTCGGTGGAATGGCAGCTGGGGAGCACAGTGGAGAGCCCGGCCTGGTGCTGGGCTGGGCCTGCTGCCGGGAGCCCAGCTCCTGGGCTGTTCTTAGCGAACCCTCCGGGCCCAATTCTGCCCCTTGGTCAGCCCGGGTGGGCACCACCCCAAAACCGGCCTCGGGATTTCATCTCGGGCAGGGAAAGCAGCAAGTCAAGGCCCAGTCATGCTGGTTAAGTGAAGCAAGAAATACAGGGACTCGGGAGAGGTGCCCCGACCGGGGTGTGGTTTGGGGCTCACCCTCCCCCCCCTCAGGCCTGGGTTCCCATTCCCTCCCCCGACCCCCAGGCCTGCAGGGATCCCAAGGCACTTGGAATAAAGCTTGGAAACTGCTCTCAATCCAGCGCCTCCTGCTTCCAGTTTGTTACATTAACGTTGTCTGCGTCACTGATTGTAACGCGGTCGCTAGGCGTGGAGGGAGTCCTGGCCCAGCAGCCCCCACGCCAGCTGGTAGAGCAGCCGCGAGTACCAGTGCATGCCCGTCTCCGGCGCACTGCAGTTCCTGGCCTCGCCACTGGGGGGCAGCAGTGAGAGGAGGCCGTGGAAGAGCCGGAGGGGGGCGAAGGCGCGGTGGGCCCAGTGATGGCTCTCCAGGACGGCGTAGCAGGAGGCTAGCACCCCGTTGACCAGGAGGGTCCCATGTGATGTCAGTGGGGCGAACACCCCCACGCCCTCCTCCCGCGACACCCGCAGCACCCGGACTGGCTGCAGCCCGCGTCCGCCAGCGTGGTGGGCCAGCACCGAGTCACCCGCCCGCACCCGCCGGGCAAAGACGGGCACGAAGCTGGCGGTGCCGTTGGCCGGGGCCGGGGCAGCGAACACCAGATGGGAGGGCGTGAGCAGCAGCCGGTGGGCGGGGCTCTCCGTCTCGATGGCCACGAAGGACACACGCCGGCGCAGGTCACGGTCCAGGAAAAGCAGCACCTCGGTGGGGACCACCTGGCCGCTCCGGTCCACGGCCAGGACCCAGTCACCACGGCGCAGCTCCCACAGCCCCTTCCGCTGGCCGCTCCGCAGCGTCACCGTGGCGTGGCCCGGGAAGCAGCCGCCGGCCCGGCTGGCCAGGGAGTTATCTGCGGGAAGACAGAGGGTCCCGTCAGCACTGCGGCCCGCGTGGGCCAGAAAACACCCCGATGGAGGCACAGAGCGGGCGGGCAGCATCTTGCCCGCGGCCTGTCCGCGTGGGGGATATTTGCACCTGCCTTGCTCCCATGGTGCAAGCCCTCCCCGGAGCAGGGCTGGTGCACCAGGTGTAAACAGGGCTTGCACAGGGGCAGTTTAATCCAGCACAAGGCCTGGCTCACAGCACAGGACATCATCGCTGGGGTTCGCACTGGAGCAGAGACCAGTACCCAGCCCAGACAGACTCGGCTTGCAATGCCTGCTCACGCCAGGGGTGGAGCAGCTCCAGAGAAGTGCCGCGCGCTCTCAGCCTCCAGTGAAGGCAGCGGGAGCCATGGGCACCTCCCGCGTCTGGAACCTCTTCGTTCTGTCGTCTGGGTTGGCCATGCTTCTAGGGAGGGGAAGTGCTCACCCCTGACAGGCTCAATCCAGAAACAAACCGACAGGGCACGGTGCTTGGGAAAGCCCCGTTTAACAGGGACTTCAAGGGGGATCCTGCCTTAAAGTGCGGCTGCCTGGTGGGGAAACCTCGAGATGTATCAACACTCGGTCAGCAGCTCTGTCACAGGAGGTTCAAAATATTCTTTGAGAGTATTACTAATTATTTAGTTAGTAATTAGTAGTTAGTATTACTATAATAATTACTAACTAAGACCCTTCTCTGCACTGAATTTCTTTACAACAATCATAAGAACGATTCCCTTCATGTTCGATTTTTGTGACATCCTTAACGCTGATGGGATGAGGAAGGAATTCTGCGGCTTCTGTTACTGCAGTGCCTAGAAGCACCCCGCAAAGCAGGGCCCCGCTGCAGGTGCTGCACAGCGCGAGCGTGACAGGCAGGGCTTGCCCCAAAGAGCCGACAGTCCGTGTAGACAGCGGGTGGGAGGGGAAGCTGAGGCATGGAGCTGGGAAGAGACTCACCCAAGGTTACAAAGCAGGGTCGTTGGCAGAGATGGGACTAGAACCCAGGAGTCCACACTCCCAGCCTAGTGCTCTGCTCACCAGAGGTGTTGGGCAGGGGCATAAAAGGCAGTTGAGGGGGTCATGAGGTATTGAAAAATTTATTTCAGATGAAGGCAAAGAAAATCTGCCCTCTCCCCCTCCCCACACACTCGCCGGCGCTGCCCCCCGCTCAGAACACACCCACCGAGCAATCGCACAACTGAGCAGCAGCGACACGTTTTTTACTCTTACACGTGAACGGAAGCAAACTTCTGAATTCAAACAAGGAGTTGCCAACCTGAAGAAGTCAAGGAACACCCCAGGCCATGGGTCCATGCCATCCAGAGCCAGGATCCCTGTCCCCCACGGTATCACCCTGCTTCCCGTTACCTGCTTTCACCGACACATGGATGTGGGCCTTGGACTCGTAGTAGACCCAGTCGAAGCCGGCCTCCACGGCCAGGCGCGCCAGCATGCCGTACTTCTCCCTGTCCCGGTCAGACGTGGTAATGTCCAGTGCCCGCCCTTCATAGTGCAGCGAGTCGGGCAGGTGATGCCCATCTTCGTCCCAGCCTTCCGTCACCCGCAGCTTCACGCCGGGCCACATGTTCATCACGGCAATGGCCAGCGCGTTCACACGGTCCTTGCAGCGCTGGCAAGGGAAAACATGTACATGAGAACGGCCAGCCTGGGTCAGACCAAAGATCCATCTACCCCAGTGTCCTGTCTGCCAACAGCGGCCAATGCCAGGAGCCCCAGAGGGAATGAACAGAACAGGGAATCATCAAGTGATCCATCCCCTGTCGCCCATTCCCATCCCTGACCAGCCTGGCAAGTAGCCACTGATGGACCTATTCTCCATGAACTTATCTAGTCCTTTTTTGAACCCTGTTATAGTCTTGGCCTTAGCAACATCCTCTGTCAAGGAGTTCCACAGGTTGACTGTGTGTTGTGTGAAGAAATACTTTCTTTTGTTTGTTTTAAACCTGCTGCCTTTTAATTTCATTGCGTAACCTCTAGTTCTTGTGTTATGAGAAGGAGTAAATAACACTTCCTTATTGACTTTCTCCTCACCAGTCATGATTGTATAGACCTCTCTCATATCCCCCCTGAGTCGTCTCTTTTCCAAGCTGAAAAGTCCCAGTCTTATTAATCTCTCCTCATACGTTAACCCTTGCTGCTCCGGAGGCGCGGGGGAGGCAGTGGGGCAGACAGAAGGGAGCTGGCATTACAGGAGGAGAATGCACAGCTGGTTGGGGGGCTGCGAGGAGCGGGGACCCTGATATCGGAGGAGGAATGGTCCAAGGATGTGCTAAGAGATTTGGACAGTCCTGCCCTGCCTCAGCTGCCACCTGGGGTGCTGGGGGGCACCCAGAGGAAGGACGATGGAGATGCTGTTGCAGGGGCAGAGGCCAGGCCCCCGGCCGATTTTTAATTCCAAGGAGCTGGCCATTGTCACCGACAGGGACAGCGAGCGGGGGAGACAGGGGAGGGCAAAGGCAGCAGCACCCCCATGGTCCCACAGCTTTGCTGGTTCACAAGCCTAATTCCCTCTCTAGACTGGCTCGTGTGCCAGTGCCACCGGGCGCTGGGGCAGCCAGACCAGGTTTTCAGGGGCATTTCAGCCGATTCGGGGGCACTGCCAGGCCGGACGCCGCCACCCACAGCGGCTCACCGGCCAAGCCTCGTCTCCAGCACGCAGCGCCCGGAGAGCCGCCCGAGGCCAGGGCAGCCGGCAGCTTTGCCCCGGCTCGGCAGACGAGGGTCGCCTGGAGCCAGCTTGGGCGAAGGGCTCCTGTCCCTCGCCCACGGACCAGGCAGACGCAGGTGGGCAGGGAATCGCCCACAGAGGGGACGGGACTTTGCCACAGGGCAGCAGCTCTGCCAGGGATAGAAGCACCCGGGCAGTGCCTACCCACTGAGTCAGGCTGGCTCCCCGAGCGGGGCACAAAATGCAGGGGGGCTGTGGTGACCCCCCCCCCAATTCACAAGCTCGGGAACTGAGTCTGTGGCACAAGGCTTGAGGTGCGATTTTCCCTTTGCTTTCCTGGTGCTTCCACGGTCCCTTTGCCGGTTGAACCCGGTGCCCCCCCAGGTGTGACACCCGCCTCCCCCAGCCACACCCGGCTGCACTCGCTGGACGTGTCTGGGCAGCGCCCAGAACTGGCTCCTTCCCCTCCCCCTACTCTATCCCCCCTCCCCGGCCCCTCGACTGCGCCCCCTTAGCAGAGCCCGGCTCCCTCCCACAGCCACGGGCATCGGTACAGAAGGAAACTTGAAACGGAGAGAGGCCAGGGCCCAGAGGAGAGCACCGTGGGGGTTCTGAGTGCTCCCGTGAGACCAAGTGGGGACCTCTTTCCAGCGCCAGGCTTGTCGTCAGCATCTGGCAGCCAAATGCCCTGGGCAGGGACCCCGGCGGGCACAGACGCCACACAGCCCCGCAGAGCCATGCTTGGGATGGCGCCACATGGGGACGGGACATGCCTAGGTCTGGCTGCCCCCACCCGGCCCAAACCAGCGCTCACCAGCTCCCCCAGAAACACACAGACCAGCTCCTTAATGGGTGATTCATTAACTCGGGTCAGGCCCAGAGGGAATGGCTAACCTGAGTTTCAGGAGCATCAGACTTGTTTGAGGCTGGGCCCCTCCCTTTAGAGCAGGGGGGCGGGAACCAGGACTCCTGGGTTCCCCTCCCTCCTCCCCGCTCTGGAATTGTCTCCCCCTGTGACCTCATGCCAGTCACTCCCTTTTTCGGGGGCCGTGGGGAGAGCCACACTTCCCCGCTTTGCAAAGCAATGAATCTCTTGATTGAAAGGTGCTACATGCCCATAGATTCATCCATCCTGCTGCAGACCCACGTACACTTTGTCCTCAAACAATTTCCATTTAATTTATCTATTATGCCATTCATTCCCCCCTCACAGAACTGCAGCCACCTCTGGGGTGAGGCGGAGCAGCTCTGTATAACACCAACGCTGCACAGAACATTCAAATCAGAATCCCGCTCGATTCTCTCCCGATGTGGAAATGCAACAACTGGCCACAAAAGGCAGAGCCTGAGATAAGCTCAGTGAGGAGAGGCAAAGGGAAAGGCTGGAGTGGCAGCAAACATCCCAAGTCTCCTGCCCCGCACAGGCCTCAGCCCAGTCTCTGCCTCTCCTCTTCACCCCCAGCGCTCCCCCAAATCTGCCCCCCAAGCATCATTAACCCTCTCCTGCAGCGTTCACTCCTGGTAGCCACTTTCCCTCCTTCTTCCCTCCCTCCTCCTGGGCTCCTTCCTCTGACCCCTTCGGCACCAAGCCACCTGCGGCTGCAACGCACCCCGGCTCAGGCCTAGGACAAGCCAGAGAGCCGAGCGGAGCCGAGCCGGGGCCTTGGGGGCAGGCAGGGTGGGCGGGGAGCTGCGAGGGGAAGGAACGAAAGAGGGGCAGACGGAGAGATGGGGGGCGCGGGTGGCATTTAAACCAGCTAGAAAGGGAACAAAGTCAGATTGATGGCGTGCAGGGGAGGAGGGAAGGGCCGGTGGAGGAATGTGCTGCGCTTCTCGCGCCTCGCAGCACAATAGCTGTTTTCCAGCCCGAGAATTACTTAACTCGGCGAGAATTTCAAATCCTCCGGTTCAACAGGGAAAGAACAGCAAAGTCATCAGCTTTGCCACAAAGGGCCCATTCAGCGGCCTTGCACCCCCCGGCCGGTGTCAGCAAGGGGGAAAGTGCACCCTGGGGGGGCAGCCACAGGATCCCCCTCCCCTCCCCCGGCAGGACTGCAGCAGCCACTGACCAGGATCGGGGCCCTGCAAGGCTGGGGGCTGGAGCAGTGCACAGGAGTGGTTGGTGCGCTGGCCACCAGGGGGTCAGGCCGGAGGAAGAGCAGAATATCCCCTGGGGGGAGGAGTGCTTGGGAGTTTGGGGGGGGGCTTTTAGCTAGACTCACTCTCCCTACACGCACCTAGGCTGGGGGTCCCCCCAATAGCATGCACTTTCCATAGGAGTGAACAGAGTGGCTGGGGGAGGCACTCTCTGGGGTACCCAGACCAGCCAAGGGATGGCTGAACTGCCAGGCCCCGAACCCTAATGGCCAGACACCCCATAAAAGTCAGGGTGCAGCAGCCACATTTCAAGGGGGCTAATTCCACTCAGCAGCACCACTTGCCACCCCACTTCCAGCCGGATAATATTCGTCCTAAACAGCCGCATGGCCCTTAACCAGCCGCCACACTCCACCCCAGAGGAGGCTGCATCTCAGTGCTGGGCAAGTGATCCCTTTTGCTGTGCGACCCTGGAACGGCTTCTGCGTTCTGCCCCAGAGGGCAGCCTGGGCGAGGGGTCTCTGCCTGGGTGATCTGTCACATGCCGGCCGAGTGGGGCTAGCTGTCTTTCAAGTCCTCCCACAGGCCTCTGGGCTGCAGTTTGGGGTTGTTGAAAACTGGGTTCCTTCCATCCCCCCGAGATACCCCAATGCCCGGCCCCAGCAAGAATACGATGCCCTCCTGGTCCCTGCCCACAACATGGCAGCCTCAGGGGGACGCAGCCCGGAAGAAGGCAAGACAGGAGCAAGGGGAAATCCTACCAGCTGCTCCCTCCCGGGAAGCTCCGGCTGGGAGAGGAGGTTTATCACGAAATGAATAATCCAATCAAGAAAAAAGTAACCACTTCCCTCTAGCCTTGACATTATTCTCATACCAGGAGGGCGAGACTGGCGCGGCGGGCAGGGGAGCCGGGAGCATGGGAAGGAGAGAGAGGGACAGGCAGTGAAAAGAGCGAGCGAGCGGGAGAACAAGGGAAGGGGGGAAGAGCCAGGGAGCAGGGCGGATGGATAGAGAATGGAGACAGAGCCAAGCCACCTGGACCAGCACCAGGGGAGCCCGGGGCAGCCTCCTCCATCACCATGGCAACAAGATAACGGGCAGCCAAGAGCATCCCCCTCGCTGCCCCAGCCTCCCAGGATGGGGAGACACGGAACTTCCCTCCTGCCAGCTCTCCCCGCCCCCCATTTGCCCCAGTGGGGGTATGGGACCCCATGCCCTTTGCTTTCCGTTCTGAGTCCCTGCACCCCCCCATGGCAGCCGGCCAAGCCCAGCTGCGTGGCCCTGGGAGCTCTGACCTGCAGAGGCAGCCACAGGTCACCAGCTGCGTGGCTCCGAGGGCCAGAGGCTGCCAGGAGCACGGTCCCGGAGCAGCTGAATGGGGCATTTTCAGGCACCTCTGAGGCGGGGACGGGGGAACCAAGAGACACAGCAAGTGCTGCCAGGGCAGGGGTGGGGGAGCAAGACCCCAGCAGCAAAACCCCTCCGCGGGGAGAGTCTGGGCACCGCGTAGACCCTGCCCAGTGCAGCTTGCACCCCAGTGACCCAAGTCACCCAAGACTCTCACAGCACAGTCCTGACGCCTCAGAGCAGCCCTGGGATATAGGTACCACGGGATCCCCATTTCAGAGCTGGGGAAACTGAGGCACTGAGCAGGGCAGGAACTAGCCAGTGAGTCCGGGCTGCAGGCAGGGAGAGAAGCCAGCCGTTATTCATGACCTGGAAGAGGGGCTGAGCAGGGGGTGAGGTTAGTGAAGACCGTGAGAGGGACCCTCAACCTGGGCCTGGCTCCCAGGGGGTGGATCACTCGCTAATTCCCTGTTCCGTTCACTCCCTCTGAAGCACCTGGCACCGTGGCTGATATGCTGGGGATCCCCACAGTGCAAACCCCAAGGATGGAGCTGAATTGATCAGGCAAGGACTGGCTGTAACGGACTAATGTGCCCAGGAAGAGGGACTTGGGGTTTTCCAATGTTAGTGTCTATGACTCTCCAACAACCACTAGACCCCACTCCCCTCCCAGTGCTGCAAACGGAACCCAGGAGTCCTGGCTCCCATTCCAACCAGCACCGGACACATCTCATCAACCCTCCCACTCCCGGGTTGCTACGGCTTGAATATTCCAGGGTGCTGGTTCATTCCTGGAGGAAAGGGCCCACCCCGGAGTGTGGCCCCCTCGCCGAGCAGACTCCCCTCCTCACCCCAGCAGGAAACACCCACCCCGGAGCGCTCCATGCGCCCCCACGCCCCATTGTCTCTCCTCCAGCACAGCCGGCTCATTCTACTCCCAGAGCCGGCACGCCCACCATCCTGTGCCATCCAGACCCAGTCTGGCTGCCAGCCTCCCCCCTTGCCCGGGCGACGGACATCGGGTGACTCAGCAGGAGGAAATGAATCCGCGATGCAGTCAGGCGTGCCCACCCACGGACACGCGAGAGGCTGAAATGTCACACAGCCCAGGAGCCAGCGGTCCCCTGGCACTGCCGGGACCTGGCATTGGCCACCCTAGGGGGCGGTTACATCAACTATCGTAACTAAGGGGCGTGGCACGACCATGTCCCCCTCTCTGGGGCACAGCCTGGCCCCAGGGCTGCCCCCAGATGGACCTGCACCTCCTCTGCCAGGGTGCCCGGGGGCTTCCCGCACCGCTGCAGCCCCTCCGCCGTATGACATTGCTCGTCACCAAGCCCCTGTAGCGCCAATATGGGTCAATCCCGGTGGGGGGGGGGCTGATGGAACAGCTGGCCAGTCCTGGCCCAGCGACTTCTACTTGTTGCTAGCACTACGTTCACCTGTGGAACTCACTGCCCCAGGACTGTTCAGACACAGAAAGCGCAGTCAGTTATGCTGGGATCGGAAACTCTGCTTTGTACATGTTTCAGCCTGGAGCCTTCAGCCCCCCAGGCAGCCACCCCCCAGCTAACAGACCAGTTAGGGGCACTGTTCCATCCATCCAAGGAACTTATCTGCCCCCCGCTGCCTGACAGTCCCAGCACCTCCTGGGCAGCAGGGCAGGGCCGTTATCCCCATTTGTGCAGTGGAGAAACTGAGGCACAGAGAAGCCGCATGACTGGCTTGTGTTCCTACAATCTGTGGCAGAGCTGCGACGGACCCCAGGTCTCCCGGGGCCAAGCCATAGGGCCAGTCATCTCCTTGTAACCTTTGCAACAAACCAGAGCCCTCGGTGAATGTCCCCAGGGTCGGCCGAGGTTCAGAGCCTGGAGAACATGTCCAGGGCGGCGTGGGGGGTGGAAAGGGGGCCAGGTGCAGGTTTTCCTGAGCCCTGTTGTTAAAATGCATCTCCCCATGTAACCCCGAGCTCTTAGCAGGGGCCAACAACGGCACCGTTTCACCTCCCCTGCCAAGCCATGAAATGGGATGAGACATCCCTGTCGCCCATTGCCCACCCTGCCTGCTCTGCAGTGGGGTCTCTGCTCTCTCCCCCTTCCCCGCCCCAGGAGCTGCCACTTCGGCCCTATCTTCGCTGCCAAGATGGGGTGGAGGGGGGCAGCCACGACCCAGCCTGGCTACATGGGGGGGAAGCTCCCTGGGCCCTGTCTCCACTGGGCCCTGGTCACCCCCTGCTGGACACCTCCTCCCCCGCCCCCCGCTGGCAACCAGACACTGCTGCCAAAGAGAAAGTGACCAGGGTGCCAAACATCTCAGGGGCCGAGGCAGATGGTGACGCCAAGGCCCAGGTCCGGAGCTCCTCTCCGGTGTAAATCCAGGCTGGCTTCGAGGGAGGTGATTCAGGTTTACCCCCCCCCCGCCCACCTCCACA